ACGGAGAGAACAGTTTGAGGTTTAATTTCCCCTGGCTTTTTCCCTGCTTACATTCTTCACGGTGTGACAATCAGGTCATTGCAGGCTGTCACCAGCTCTGCTTCTGGGCCTGTCTTTGCACCAGCAAACATTTTCTTGCATCTATGCCTAGATTAAACGTTAGAAGGGGCTGGAATTGCTGGGTAATGAAATTGCTGGAAAATCCTCCATTGTAGGGATGAGGGCAGAGGCTGAGAGGGGTTGTCCAGGAATCAAATCCTTTGTGCTGTGGGAAGTCTATTCTCTGCTAAAATGATGGCGTTGGATCCCTGGATGGTTTCTAAGGTCCCTTCAGGGTCAGGTTCTGCTTGTCTTTGAGAGGTGGAGGAGGAGGAGATGTCTTTGGCTAAGACATTTAGGGACTTTGGGGAGGAGTGTTTCTCTTTCCTCCCCTACATGGGCACTGACCTGTCCAGTTGGTCTGATTTCTGCAAAACCCTACCCAAGGCCCCTGCCTTCTCCTGAATGGCTTTTCCTCTCTCAGGAGCTCAGAAAGCTCACAAGCAGCCTGGGGCCAGGGACACAAGCCTGAAAGCAAGATGAGAAAGCAGGTGGGTGGGAGGCAGGGAGAGGGAAGTGGCTGGGGAGAACAGAACCTCATTCCCTGGTGGGTTGGCCAAGGAGCGGTGTCTGGGCCTCACCCTCGGCTTATTTGCAGGGCTACTCTTGGAATATGGGGAGCAATCCCCAGTGGGCATCGTTAGAAATAAATGTGCAGTAATTGCTTGGGGTGCTGCTGGGCCCATTTCTCCTGGGCTCCAGATACACCATTTCCTTAGAGTTTTTCCGCTGGAGAGTGATGGCCTTCAGAGGTTTAATTTGCTACTTTTGTCTCCAGGGGAAATCTCTACAATTCTCTGCTTTTCTCTTTAGTCCAGGGAATTCATCTCATTGATTGTATGAAATCAGAACTCCAAAGTTCATGTTGATGGCCCCCTTTTAAATTGAGGACATTATCGCATTCTTTTTTTATGGCTGCATAGTATTCCATGGTATATATGTACATTTTCTTTATGCAGTCTGCCATTGATGGGCATTTAGGTTGATTCCATGTCTTTGCTATTCAGTGCTGTGATGAACACATGTGTGCATGTGTCTTTTTTGTTGTTGTTGTTCTTTAAATGGTGTACATTTAGATAAGTTTTTTTTTTTTAACTTTTAAGTTCAGGAGTACATGTGCAGGTTTGTTACATAGGTAAACTTGTATTGTAGGGGTTTGTTATACAAATTATTTCATCTCCCAGGTATTAAATCTAGTACCCATTAGTTATTTTTCCTGATTCTCTCTCTCCTCCCACCCTCCACCCTCTGAGGGGCCCCAGTATGTATTGTTCCCCTCTATGTATCCATGTACCTCCCACTTATATGTGAGAACATGCAGTATTTGGTTTTCTGTTCCTGTGTTACTTTGCTAAGGATAATAGCCTCCAGCTCTATGTATGTCCTTGCAAAGGACATGATCTCATCCTTTTCTTTTTTTTTTTTTTTTAAATGGAGTCTCGCTCTGTTGCCAGGCTGGAGTGCAATGGCGTGATCTTGGCTCACTGCAAACTCCGCCTCCTGTGTTCATGCGATTCTCATGCCTCAGCCTCCTGAGTAGCTGAGATTACAGGCATGTGCCACCACATGCAGCTAATTTTTGTATTTTTAGTAGAGATGGTGTTTCACCATGTTGGCCAGGATAGTTTTGATCTCCTGACCTTGTGATCTGCCCACCGCGGCCTCCCAAAGTGCTGGGATTACAGGTGTGAGCCACCATGCCCGGCTGATCTCATTCTTTTTTATGGCTGCGTAGTATTCCATGGTGTATATGTACCACATTTTCTTTATTCAGTCCGTCATTGATGGGTATTTAGGTATCTTTGCTATTGTGAATAGTACTTCAATGAACATATGTGCATGTGTCTTTATGATTTATATTCCTTTGGATATATACCCAGTAATGGGATTGCTGGGCCAAATGGTATTTCTGTCTTTAGGTCTTTGAGGAATTGCCACACTGTTTTCCCTAATGGTTGAACTAATTCACACTCCCACCAACAGTGTGTACGTGTTTCTTTTTTTCTTTTTCTCCACAACTTTACCACCACCTGTTATTTTTTGACTTTTTAGTAATAGCCATTCTGACTGGTGTTAGATGGTGTCTTATGGTTTTGATTTGCATTTCTTTAGTAATCAGTGATGTTAAGTTTTTTTTTTTTTTTTTTTTTTGAGACGGAGTCATTCTCTGTTGCCCAGGCTGGAGTGCAGTGGCGCCATCTTGGCTCACTGCAAGCTCCGCCTCCCTGGTTCACGCCATTCTCCTGCCTCAGCCTCCCGAGTAGCTGGGACTACAGGTGCCCACCACCATGCCTGGCTAATTTTTTGTGTTTTTAGTAGAGATGGGGTTTCACTGTGTTAGCCAGGATGGTCTCGATCTCCTGACCTCGTGATCCACCCGCCTCAGCCTCCCAAAGTGCTGGGATTACAGGCGTGAGCCACTGTGCCTGGTCAAGCTTTTTTTTTTTTTTTATAAGATTGTTGGCCACATGTGTGTCTTCTTTTGAAAAATGTCTGTTCATGTCCGTTGCCCATTTTTTAATGTTTTTTTTTCTTATAAATTTAAGTTCCTTATAGATGTTGGCTATTAGACCTTTGTTGGATGCATAGTTTGCATTTCTTTTCCCCAGTCTGTGTTCTTGGCACCTTTGTCAAAAATGAGTTCACTGTAGATGTGTAGATTTGTTTCTGGACTCTCTATTCTGTTCCACTGGTCTATGTGTCTGTTTTTATACCAGTACCATGCTGTTTTGGTTACTATAGCTCTCTATTGAAGTCAGGTAAATTTGATTCCTCCAGTTTTGTTATTTTTGCTGACGATAGCTTTGGCTATTCTTGGTCTTTTGTAGATCTTTACAAATTTTAGGATTAAAAAAATATTTCTGTGAAGAATGTCATTGGTATTTTGATAGGGATTGCATTGAATCCGTATGTTGCTTTGGGTATTGTGGACATTTTTAACAATATTGTCTTGAAATATATAAACATGGAATATCTTTCTATGTTTTTGTGTCCTCTTCAATTTCTTTCATCAGTGTTTTATAGTTTTCATTGTAGAGATCTTTCACTTCTTTAAGTTAATTCCTAGGTATTTAATTTTATTCGTGGCTATTGATTTTATTTCAGATTGTTCCCTGCTGGCATATAGAAACGCTACCGATTTTGTACATTGATTTTGTATCCTGCAACTTTACTGAATTTGTTTATCAGTTCTAATAGTTCTTTGGTGGAGTCTTTAGGTTTTTAAAATGTCATTTGGAAGTCATATGGAAATATTTAGAAATCATTTCCAAATACCATTTAGAAACCATTTGAGTATTTTCTTACTTCCTGGAACAAAAAGTATCCTGAGCTCATCTTGAACATTCTTAGTCCTAGCCCTGGCATCAGCCATTTCTCTAAGGAGCTCTGATTCCCTTCAGTGGAAAATGATATTCATAAGCCAAGATCTAGGCACTAAGTGTACTCATTGCTATTAAAATGTCATTGTTATCTAGCCCTATCAATGGAGAGAAGTAGGGAATATATGTTTTACACACACACACGCACGCACACACACACACACATGCATGCTCACAAATACATACACATATATTTACATCTATCTAATTATGTATCAATTATCTATTATCTATCTGTCATCTGTCTATCTATCCATCTATCTATCTAGAAAAGAATGAATGTACACTGATAACATCCATTCCAATCTGACGCCATAGGATTCTTGCTAGCTTTCTCCCTTTCTGAATCTATGGCTCTTTCCTGTAAAAGTGACACACCTTTCTTGCAGTATATTTTATTTATGTGATCAATCCCCTTTATGTAGCCAACTCTCACCCATCCCTTCCCACTCATGGATGCCCTCCTCACCTCACGTGGGTTCTCCGTGCCCTATTTTGCTCTGGCTGCTCTTGAAGGTCACATCTCTGTGTGGACCCCTTCTCTGATTGCTTGGGCTCGCACGTCCAGGTCAGGCTGCCCCTCCATGTGGATGCCTTCTCCAGCACCCTTGGAATCTGACTTGGAGCTACCTTGACTCTCTCCTCCACCTTAATGTGTGTCTACCACGTGGCTGCAACCCACCTAATGGCTTTAGTATTCAGAAAGAGAGGGGAAAGGAAGGAATAAAAAAGGAAAATAAATGAGTGCTTTTAGACATGCTGCCCAATCAACTGACCAATTGACAATTTTTTATTCGGTGTTCATTGCATTAAGACAATTGGGAGGTGAAGATGGAATGCAAGACGTTTATAAGAAAACGTGTTTCCTGTATTCCAGAAATGTCAGGGGAGATGAGGTAAAAACAATAAATCAAAACTAATAATATGATAAGTGCTTCATTGAGTGTTACAAAAAATATGTTCTTCAAAGAAGGCAGGATGAAACTACGAATATTCTCTTCAAACAATGGTCAAAGTCACAGTAGATTAACTCTCACCTATTTTAATAATCAAATTGGAGTTCTGACAAAGGCCCCACACCAACAGTGACTACAATGATAAAAAAAGTTTATTTGTTGGTTCTCAGTCATTCAGTTCTATAGATTTCTCTTTAGTGCGCAGGACGGCATCAGATAGTATTTTTGTAAAGGGGATTTTATCTCTTTGCTTAATATAAAACTTATTATAGAATATTACAAATAAAACATGATATAAATGTCACTATTCAAGTCATCACGATAATTCTTATTTTTCTGAAAAATTATGGATCAAATCATTGATAAATATTTATTCTCTGATGAGAGCTCAGGAGGAGTTGATAATGCTAACTAGAGGTGGGTAGAGGTAGTCCTATGAGAAGCAGAGAAGCTGAGTCTACCTATCTGTCACTTATCTGGTCACCTCCTTTATATTACATAATGCACAACACTCTACACAGGCACTAGGAGAGCTCAATGAATGTACAAAACCACCAACTACTCATGCAGTACACTAGATTAAGCTCATCTTTATTTCAAGGTTTTATTGACAAAGTAAATTGAGATCTCTGGTGTTCTGGGGCACAGCTTTCTTGAAGAACAAAGTAGAAGTCCTTAGAATAACTCATTCTCCACTTAGGGTTCCATCTCTTGACTCAACCTTTAGAACAATGGGTTTTTCTGATTGAAGAAGGCCTTGGTTGCCTAATTTCAAGGGGATCTACAAGAGTTAAACAAGCATATGGAGAATTAATAAATGACGTGAGAGAAGAAAAGATGGAAGCAAAGTAGAAAAAATACATGAATGACAAAAACGCTTTGTGAGCTTATAAAAACGACTCTCAACACCATGTATCTTGGATTCTTCGTACTTAATCTATAAGCTGGGTAAATACTGGATAGTAAAAGCCCTCACCATCCATCATTTAACAAAATATTTATGGAGCACCGACTCTGTGCCAGGCCTGCGACAAATTCTTGTGGACTTGTGTTTTTGTTTTTGTTTTTTTTTTTTTTTAATTAAATCTTAAGTAAAAAGGATGAGTTTTAAAAATTAAATTCAGATTATTTGGTATAATGGCAAACTACTTTGGAATTGCCATATAAAGTTAAATTTTTGTAGGTTAAAACTTGCAAGGTAATCCTGGGTAGCTGTTGTACAGTTTAATTATGGGGGCAGTTTTCAACTTCCAGAGTCTAGTAACCCCTCCCAATTGAACCCATCAAATGCAATGATGGGAAAGGTGTTCAGAAGGAATTATTCTTTTCTTTTTAACATCTCCTCTTGGCTTCCAAGTGTAGTGCAAACAGGGAAGTTCTCAAGTTGTACAGTGACTCATACTGCTAGCCCTATTGTCACTGAGTCACTCCTTCACTGTTGGGGGAGCCACCAACAGAGTAACATTCTGATCTCAGTTCAGTGAGGGGAAGGCAAGTTGCCATGGATACAAAGAGTTGCCAGTCTGAGATGCCTGAGAGCTTGCCAGGGAATATCTTCCCTGTCCCAGGTGTGCCAGTGGCCCACTTTCTCTCAGGACTGAATCCCCTGTCTGAACCTGAACACGTACATAGGAAAGCTACACAGCTGCCCTGAAGCCGTTCATAAGATGGCAACCATCTCCATCCTCCTCCTCTCCCAAGCACAAAGTGTACTTAAGGGGTGGAGTTGCATATTAAATGCACCGGTGCTGGAAATAAGACTTATAGGCTATTGCTTAATATGAATCAATGACATCTATTCTTTAACTTCTTCAGAGAAAAGATTTTAAATCTTTCTATAAATGTATCACCTGGAACATAAGGTCAAACAGTAAGTATAGCCCTGCTCTATGGTAGTCCTTCATATCCACCAGAAATGCCTGAAATTAGTCATTCTCCACCTTGGCTTCATGTGAGAACTGATCAGGGAGCTTTTAAAGTCACACTCTGGGTAAATTAGTTAAGAATTTCTGAGATATCGCAGGCGTCGTGAATTTTTAAAGCTCCCTGGTGATTCCGATATGCAGCTAGTGGTTGTGAACCACTGTCATGAGAGAGCATCTACAGGCGCTGGTGATGGAGAGCATCATTTAAGTCACAGCCAGGTAATCATTGCACTTCATGACTGGGCAGAACACTTCCTCTTTCCAACTGGCTTGAAACCGAATTTAAACTTACTCAGGTTCAAAGAGACTGCACATAATCATGCCATGCTAATCGGCATGGACTTTACATGATGTTCTTAATGCTACAGGTTTTGAAGTCCAGAACGGAAGCATCCTTAGTGATCAAAGATGGATCCAAAGACGTTCTTTGGTCCGTAGAATGAATTATTAAAAGATATGCATATTCTTTTAAAAAATATATACCCTTCCATTAAAAAAATTCTTAATACAACATACAGAACGTGTACTGACCTGTGTTTCTTTACAAGGTTTGAAGGAGAAGTTCTGAAGGACTTTGATTATAGCAAGTTTCATGTTCATGAGAGCAAACCTCATGCCAATGCAGTTTCTGGGTCCAGTTCCAAAGGGTGTGTATATGTAAGGATCTATGCTGTCCTTGTTCTTCTTACTGAACCTAGTTCCATATTGGTAGATTAAAAAGTTAATGAAATATAAAAACCACAGAGTTACATATTAGGGGTTCTTACTTAAGAACCACCCCCCTCCACCTCCCAACCAGTAATACACAAGTTACTTTTATGGGCTGGTCATTGAAATCCTGCTTTGGTTATTTTGTTATAATAATCGTAACCTACAGGTCCTTTCCATTCTCCATACCCTATAGGAGCGTTCAGATTTCTTGAGATGAGATGAATGTTGTTGCAAATAAAATTTATCTCTAAACTCTAAAATTATATTCAGGGTGGTGATGTGTTCACACTATAAAAGATACATAAGTGATAAGACTGATGGATGCGAAAGTGGATTCCTGCCTCAACTCACACTTATGTTGGTCACATACTCATTCATGAGAAAGGAGAAGGAGAAAGTGTCTTGTGCTATTTCAAGTTGTTGTTTTTCCTTTTCCTTCTCCTGTCATCTCTTTTTTTCTAATTTCCCTCCTCCTCCTCTCCACCTTCCCTATCCACCTTCTCCTCTGCCTGCTTCTCCACCTCCTTCTCTTCCTGGTTCTTCTGTCCATCTCATCCTCTCTTTCTCCCCCACACCCTTATAGAATAGTTTAAGTCGAATAATTTACATGGGCTTATGATGCTACCCTACTGTAGTGTCATCACTGCTTTCCTTGATGTGTTCCACTAGGCTATAAATTCTTTGAAGATTGACCCATGTTTTATTCAAATTTGATTTCTAAATATTTGATTATAGTAAGGAAAAAATGTTGATCTGAGGAAAGTAATGGCATTGTTGTCATATGTTTTTACAGTAGTTCTTATATTTTGGAGAGCGTTCTGAAATATTTACAGGCTATTGCTTCAAAATAACATAATAGGCAGGAGGAGGGTGGTGGTGGCATTTGGATGGGGTAGCTAACATGGATTGATGGCTGTTGGAACCAGTGATAGATACATGGAGATGCACAAAAACTATTCTATAGGCTGGTGTCTATAGAATATACTTGTGTATATGTCAAACATTCTCTAATGTATATACACACACACATATACATATATATCATGGATTCATGGACTTATATAAATCACATGGATTCATGGATTTATATAAATCATGGATTAATGGATTTATATAAATCATATGATTTAGATGTATATAAATCATATGATTTAGATGTATATAAATCATATGATTTAGATGTATATAAATCATATGATTTAGATGTATATAAATCATATGATTTAGATGTATATAAATCATATGGATTTCTCCCTGCCTGGCCAAGTTCCTGACACATGGCAAGCACTGTCTCTTTGGTGACTGAGTGATTCAAAGTGAAGTACAGCGAGTGGTCTCTGATTTTGTATTAGTGCAGCCACAGGAGGTGGAAGTGCTGAGCTTTCAGGAAACATAGAAGTCCTCTACTCTGGAAAACAGAGAATTTGGTCAGCTCTGACTTACTCTGTGAACAAGTATTATGTGCAGACTCCATGCTAGCACTAGGGACACCATGGCCAACAAGACAAGGTCGCTGCCATCAGCAAACTTGCAGGTAGGGGCCAATGAAAGTCTAGATCCCAAGCATCCTAAATCACCAGCCAGTACCTAAAAATGTCATTCTGAATTTTGCTTAATAATACAACAATGGGAAAACAGCAATTATATCCAGAGTGCAAACTGTGCCTAAGGCCTGACCTTGTCCCTGAGTTCCCAGAAGAGCATGCTCAAGACACCTCCAAGGAGGAGTGTGTGAGATGTCTACTGAGAGTATAAGGGAGCTGGCACAGGACTGCAGCCACAGACAGGACCAGGAGGACCTGTGCTGTCTTGTGTCCTCAGTGACAGCCCTAACCATTAGGGCTGAGGACTTCTCAGGACCTCAGCCTGCACTGTTATGATTACCACAGAGGAAATAGCAAGCAATGTTGAAAGCAAATGGAACGTGGAAGCATGTTTTAAAGTTGCTGTTAAATTCAGAGAGCTAAAGGGCGCAGCATAGAAAAAACGGAAAGGAATAAAAAGCCTATACACCTGAAATAATCATCATGGTTAAATGGTTTATGGCATATGCAATATATACATACATATTTATAGTAATGTAGATCAGTGGATAGTTTCCTGGTAAGTAAGCAAGAATTCAAATAAAAAGTGATACCATTCTAGTTTTAAAAAATCTACATAGGCATAGAAAAATGCCCACAGGGACATAATTGATGATCTTCATCTTAAGGTGCTGGGGCTGTGGATGGCGGTAGTTTCATTTTTTCTAGTCTGTGGTTTGTGAACTTTGATAATTATCACTTTTTTTGTGATAAAAAGACTTACAAGCAAAAGATTGTACAACCACACGATTGTCATGTAGATTAAGAGAGGCAGAATATGCTTGAACCAGCCTGGTTCAGGGTGAGCTCCATTTCCTGGGAGCCTTGTACCTTTCAGGGCGGAACTCCTCAGGCTCTGTCCAGTACTTTGGGTCATGGTGAAGAGCATAGGTTGGAATCACCACCATTGCCCCTTTGGGAATGAACACCCCATTGATTTCAACATCTTTCTTGCAGGCCCTCTCAAGTCTAATAGCAATTGGGAATAATCTGAGTGTTTCATTCACCACCATGTCAAGGTACTCCATCTGTACCATGGCATCATAAGTGGCAGGTGCCTGGGAAGAAAGAAACAGATTTGGATAAATTGAGATTTTGAATTAACTCTCAACTGAGTCCATGCAGTACTATTGAAGTATTAGAAGTTCCAGAGAATAACTTATACTGGTAAATGATCATAGCATTCATGAAGTATTTTAATAACTGTCATGTCCATTGATGTGCTCAGTGACCTACTGAGATGTATGGAGGGGTTATGAATGTAGGAGGATCAGGACCATCCTCACCCCAGGGACTGAAATCCCTAGCATGACCAAATAGTGATTTTTCTTTCTCATGGGAAGAAATGTGATTAATGGGCTATGACCATTACCACCAAATAAAATACACAAAAGTCACTATCACCTTTCAAAAAGAGGTCATACATCTGTACCAAGAAAGAAAAACAGGAAAAAGAGCAAATATCCTGTTCACACAAGGATTATTGGTTGCAGAGTCCTTCTTGGTAACTCTTTTGAGGAATTTGAGACCAGCTTGGGCAACATGGTGAGAACCCATCTCTACAAAAAATACAAAAGCTAGCTGGGTGTGGCGGCGTGCGCCTGTAGTTCCAGTTACTCAGGAGGCAGAGGTGGGAGGATGGCTTGAGCCTGGGAGGCAGACTTTGCAGTGAGCTGAGATTGCACCACTGCCCTCCAGCTTGGGTCATAGAGTCAGAGACCCTGTCTCAATAAATAAATAAATAAATAAATAAGTAAAATTGAGGATAAACTTGTTCCTTTCTATCACAAATATGACACAATACATTTATGATTGGATGCTACCAAGGTATACAATTTGAGTTGTTAAAGTTACGAAGAGAATAGAACTCCACACTCAGCCCCATCCCCTCCTTTTGGAACAGTCCCCTAGTTGTTGCTTCAGGGCTGGACTGTAATCTTCAGGGCTGGATGTAAACATCCCTTTGTGTCTGCCTCACTGCCACACCAGGGTCAGCCCCACAGGCCAGGTCTCTTCACACCAAAAAGGATCCCAGTTTGGGCAGAAGTCTGAAAACTGGATGATAGGTACCTAGCACTTGGTGTTATATTTGGGAGGCTTCTGTAGAGGTTAAGAGTTTAGTTCAGGAGTCAGATACCCTGGTTCCTAGCTTGGCTTCTTTGCCAGTGGCTACCTGACTGGAACATGATGAGCTGAGTCAGCCTGCACCACGCCCCCAGGGCCAGGCTCCGTCAGACCACAGCCACACCAGAGCGAATCCAGCCAGTATCAGCAGAGCTCACTGTCCAGTCTTGTGGGCAATAAATGCTTATCATTAGATGCCACTGAGGTTTTTTGATTTTTTTTTTTTTGTTGTTACTTAGCATTATTGTGGTAACAGAATGCAGATGAACCAGGGTCAGCAATATTTTACAAAGATCTTATGCTTCTGCCAGTAGCAACCATTTCCTATGTTTCTCCCGTTGTTTTTCTCCTCAGAGGTTTTCTGCATAGTGTCAGTGAAAGAATCAGTGATTATGCTTTTCATAAAAATCCTCCTGGGGAGTGGTGAGGAGGCATTGTTACTCAGGCTTCACCTCTTCCCTTCATCTCCAGGGGTCATCCCCTCACCTTATTGGGCAAAACTGCATCAATCTCCTTCTGCAGTTTCTGCTGGACATCAGGGTGAGTGGCCAGTTCATATATAATGAAGGAAAGAACACTGCTGGTGGTTTCATAGCCAGCAAAAATGAAGATAATTGATTGGGCCACGAGCTCCTGATCAGACAGAGCTGAAAGGAGAGGAAAGACATTTTAGATAAATCAGGTCAACGTACAACATCACAGCTGAGATGAAATCTAAGTGAAGCTCTCCAATCCCAAGAGGAAAAAATGGAAAAGCAATTCAGAGTCACACTGGGGGTGGTTTTCATTCTGATGTGTATCTTACACAGGGCCAGAATGAGGCAAAATCATTTTAATCCAGGTTTTCCCAAGGTCTGCATGATTGTGGGCCATCCACTCCTCCTCATGGCATCCCAGCACCAGCACTGCTGTAATTTCCAGAGAGAGCATTTCTGTCTTACATACTCAGTGTTATGAGTGTGCGCCTTGAATGATCCTAAAAGTACTTTATCTGTAAGTAAATATGGGGTAGCCTTTCCCCAAGAAAAATTTGATTTTCTACAATAGAGCTTGACAAACTTTGAGAGAATTCCAATATAGCTTGACAAACTTGAGAGAATTTGCAATATTTAGGACCTTTTCTCTATATATGTTTGAGGGAACTTAAAGGACCAATATTGAGCTACAGATCACCTCTTGCTACTCCAAGTGTGTTTCATGGACCAGCAGCACCAGTCGCATCTGGGAGCGTATTAGAAATGCAGAATCTCAAACCCCACCATCGAACTACTGAATCAAAATGCAAACTTGCAGGAGATGTGGTGATTTGTGTGTACAACCTCACTTAAGCAGCATGGATTACATCTTTGACAGGCATCAGGCAATATAAGATCTAGGGTACAGTTCTCAGAATGGACTATCTCAGGGTGTGCAAGACAGCAGAGACAGACAAAAAGCCAGAAGCGTGGTGATTGACTGTAGTCTGATGAATGGCATTAATAAAATAGCAGAAGTTCATATGATTACAAGTTGGCCTCTCTCGATATTTCTCCTGAGAGAAGCTCACGATGATCCATCACTGGTCTGTTTGATCAGGACTAGATTAGGACCTTTAGAGACCTGAAACACAAAAATAAATATGGTGCCTGCTGCAACCATGTAACTCACAACCGAACACAATATAAAATGAGTGTGAGAAAGGTCTATAGAGTTCTGATTTACCAGTGAATATTTCTGTATGCTGCTATGGATAAATTCAACCATCCAATTATTTTATTCACTTACATTGAACCCCATTATACTGAGTTGAAGTCGAACTGTAATTTTAAAGTTGGGAGCTCTGCTGTCCAATCTGGTAGCCACTATCCACCCATGGCTATTTAAATTCAAATTTTATTCAGTTAAAATTAAATACTCTTAAAAATTGTTCTTCAGTTACATTGGCCACATGTCCTGTACTCAATAGCTATAGGTGTCTAGTGATTTCTGTATGAAACAGTGAAATGATAGACTATTTTCTTTAGCACAGCAAGCTTTATTGAGATAGATAGATGATTAATTGATAGATTATAGACAGATAGATGATTGACAGATAGATAGACAGACAGAAGTAGATGTAGACATGACATGTTTAAAGTGGTATACTGGAGTCTGCCCAGCCCTGCTCTCTAGAACCAATTGTTAAGTATTCGAGAATTTTGTGAGATGGTTGCCAAATTTTGGTAGGTTGAAATTGACCATGGTTATCGTTTTGCCACTGTCTTAGTTATAATGGTTTTGGTCAAAACCATCCATGGGTCATAAAACTAGTAGATAAAAGATTGAAGATTGAAGTAGATTTACATGGTCTCAGAGGTTTCCCCCATTAGTTACTTATCCATTTCAAAGGGAAAAACAAAACTTTACAGTAGATTAACCTGGCAAATACACTTTCATCAAGTACTGCCAGTTAAAATCACCCTTACTGGGACAGTGTGCCTCCTGATCGGTATGTTTGATATAAATTTCCAATTAGAGGTTCTCACTTGTTGGATCTGGAGGGGGCTGAGAACTGGCATATGAGCTCATGTAGGTGATCCACAAACCACTGACTGTCCTCCAAACATTCTAGGTTTTCTTGGGGTTGCCCTTCAAGCCTGGAACATGGATATACCTGTGGGCTTCTGGAAAGTGCCTCCAGCTACTATTTATAACATCTAAATGTGTGTTGTTCTGCTATGTGGCAGAAATTCTCATCTTCCTGGAATACTTCCTGCACATTTTCAGAACAAGGGCCTCCCTCTTAGTGTTCCTGCCAGTAGCCCTCAGAAGCACTCTTTGGTTACCTTTGTGGGACTCAGTTTCTTTTGAATTCTGAGAGTCAATCATCAGCTGAAGGAAATCCACTCGGTGCTAGAAGCAAAAAGAGAGATTTCATTGGCAGAAAGTTACTCATGAAGTCAGAAGTAAATCAAAAGTGCAGTCCTCAGCCTCCCTTCTTGACTTCCCTCCCTCAGCCTCCCTATGGTTTCTTGAAGACCAGAAGGCTGACGGGTGTTGCCTCGTCACCAGTGAACAAAAACATTCATCTAAATCCTTGGAAAGCAGGATGTTTTCCTGAACAAATCTAGCTATCATGTCTAATTGCTTTTTGGCCTTTGCCCTCCCTGTTCCTCATCTTCTCGGTCTTTTGGATACAGCTTTCTGGCCGAAGAGTTGCCAGGTTCCATCTCTGGTCGTAACTGCTTACCCAGGAAGAAGTCCTGGATCTTTTATTCTTCTACCTTTTTCTTTAGCAGTGTCCATATAGATTTATCTCCTGACATTTCCAGAACTCATCAGCAGCTTTTTTGGGGGAGCATTTTCAAATACTCCAACATTCTCAAACTTTAGATAATATTCAGTGACAGCTGGGTTACCTGATCCTGCCTCCCTGACCTGCAGACATCCTTCGGCTGGCCTCTAGGGCTCTTGAAGGCAAAGCTGAGTTAGCCAACCTTGCAGCCTCAATTCTTGGAGAAGACCCCTGTTCACTCCAGGCTGTGAAGCACTCAAATTTATCACACGCTACACGTCAGCAGTCGGCAGGTAGCCTGATAGGACCCTTCATTGCAGAATATGTAAAATAAGAGTCTTGGACTTAAAATGATTCTTTACCAATCTGTGATATGAGGAAAGCATAATACCAGTAAAATATATTTTCAAACAGGAAACTTTATCCTTTGACAATTTATTGAAGGGAAGAGAAGTGGTAAAATTATATCTCAATACTGTTTATATCATGACATACTAATTGTTGTGCCTGATAGCAAGTTTTAAATGCTGTCTCTCTGACTCATTCTCATCTCCTTCCCCAATCTCCTTCTTTATTTCTACCAAATGACTTCTCTTGTTCTAAACATAAGTCCTCTGTCTTTATGTTTAAAAATACAGACACATGCACTATCGTATGTATAAAATCTAAGTTTATCAAAAACTAAACATCGTCATTTAACCACCACCAGATTTTACCTTTTGTTTGTCGTTGAGGCGACTTTTTTTCATGCTGTTTACAGATTTATTTAAAAAATTTATGGCATCTTTTGGAAACAGAGAGACATTTAATGCCTCAAAAGCTGGGGTAAGGAATGGAAAGAGTACTGTGGGAAAAACAAAACAAACAAAAGGAAATCATAGTGAAAATGCAAACTTTACCTGGAGCAATTATAATTTTCTCTACCAGTAATAAGAATAAGAACATCATGATTCTCAACTGGAACCCATTCCTTTTATCATGTTTGCCCCTCTTTCAGGCCGGTGACTGAGCAAGGGCAGGTCTATACATAGGAAACACCACTACAGCAGTGAGATCAAAGGCACCTTCTGCGTCTTTGGACCGACCAAAGGAATAGAATTACATTCCTTGACCTTTTAGCCTTTATCTATTGGACTAGAGTTTTTGGATTAATGTAGACCATAATCTGCTGCTTAACTTAATCATGCTGTTCAGGAAATGATACAGAGCATATATACATCAACTTCCTTGGAATAAAACTAGAAATCAGTAGGGAAAGAAATTTGGGAAACTCATACATTTGTGGAAGTTAAACAATACGGTTTTAAGTGACCAGTGAGTCAAAGCAGAAATCAAAAGGGCAACAAGAAATTGTTTTGAGATGAACAAATAGATGACATGATATACCAAAACACAGGATGTAGCCAACACCAGTGCTCAGAGGGAAATTTATAGCTGTAATGTCTAAATTTAAAAGAAGAAAATATCTCAAACTGATAATAACCATTTACACCACAAAACACTAAAAGACAAAGAGCAAATGAAACCTAAAACCAGGAAAAGAAAGAAAACAACAAAGACTAAAGCACAAACTCATGAAATAGAGAATAAGAAACAACAGAAAAATCAGGCCGGGCGCGGTGGCTCAAGCCTGTAATCCCAGCACTTTGGGAGGCCGAGACGGGCGGATCACGAGGTCAGGAGATCGAGACCATCCTGGCTAATATGGTGAAACCCCGTCTCTACTAAAAATACAAAAAACTAGCCAGGCGAGGTGGTGGGCGCCTGTAGTCCCAGCTACTTGGGAGGCTGAGGCAGGAGAATGGCGTAAACCCGGGAGGCGGAGCTTGCAGTGAGCTGAGATCCGGCCACTGCACTCCAGCCTGGGCGACAAAGCGAGACTCCGTCTCAAAAAAAAAAAAAAAAAAAAAAAAAAGAAAAATCAATGATATTATTTCTATGAAGTGTCCAGAATAGACAAATCTACAGAGGCAGACAAATCTATATTGGTTGCTTAGGGTGATGGGGTTTGTGGTTGGGGGTTGATAGCTAAAATGTATGAGGGCTCTAGATTGACAAAAACATTTAGTTTACAACAGTAATGGTCATACATATTTTTGATTATCTTATAAACAATGGAATTGTACATTTTAAGTAGATGAATTATATGATACGTGAATTCTATGTCAAGAAAGCAGTTATTTTGAAAGGGAGAGAGAAAGAAATAATAGTCCACATACTTGTTAAGAGAAATAATGGATCTAAGAAATCAAATTTTAGGAACTTCTTAACGCTTTCCACAAAGGGGTCTTTTGGATTGTTGAGAGAGTCGATGTTTACTCCAAATGATGTGCTAGTGATCACATCCATGCTGTAGGCCCCAAAGATGCTGAGTGGAGAAAGATATGGAAAATTAAAATCAGCACCTCTTACCATCCTTCCATTATACATGCAGCAAGAAACCCACATGTCCAGTTAGGACAGATAAAGAGCCACAGACTTTCAGAACTATCTGCTGAGTCATCTCCCATCAACTCCCTCAGAAGGTGGTTATCCGGTGCCAGTGATGCAACTGGCCCTATGCTGGGGGTGATGGAGACACCAAGCTGAGTTAGACTCACCTCTGAGGTCAAGGAGCCCAGTCGTAGGAAGACAGAGACCCATTATCAGACAATTACAGTCGCATGTATTGAGTGTGGATGATATAAGATGTGTAAGCACTGTGCTTCAGCAGAACAAGAGTGGAATAATTAACTCTTTCTCGTGGATTCAAGAAAGGTGGCGTTGTCAGACTACAGACTCTATGCCCAGAGCCGATTCCTCTTCAGCACTTTACAAAACAGCAACACCCTGTTCTGAGTTCCTAGAAATATCATCCTTTATTCTCTACAATCCCTGCTAAAGCTCTGGAAAACCCCACTATCCCCAGCTCCTCTGACCTGAAGTTGCCCTGAGAGCAGAGTCATTTTTGTAAGATGTGACAATCAAGAATGTTCTGGTTAAAAAAAATAGATCTCTCCAACATTGATTTGGAGAATCCTATAGCTGAGTGACCGCATGTCCCAAGTCTGACCAGGACAGGCTCAGATTACACTTGTCGTTCTTGCATAATCGAAGCACATACAGGTGTAGACAGCAAATAATAGGCTTGCCTTACATATAGCATTTCTAGCACCCTTTCTTTTTTGAGATTGGAGGAAAAGGAAGTAGTGGGAAGGTTTAATAGTTCGTAGTTTGCTGATATTCTCAGAAAAACCATGAAGGGATTGAAATTGTTCCAAGTTCCCCATTGTGACTTTCCCATCTTACCCAATGCAAGGCAACAAGTACCAAATGCTTGCTTACCCACAGTTCTATATCCACTACACTCAACACTTTGATACGATCATGTTTTTTTATTTCTAAAGTATGTATTTAATCTCCCAGAATATTTATGGTGACAAGTTAACAGATAAGTAAATCCTGGCTCCTGTGCACACGAGATAAGGCCCTTTTCCCCTGCTGACTTGCCTTCTCACGGGGGCCACTCCCTCTTAGGTGTCTCTCTGGAGTTGCAGCACTGCCCTGCTTTTGTCTGGTCACTGCAGTAACCCAACAGTGGGACTGTTAACTCCATGGCAGGCAGCTGGAAGGGCTCATGACAGCTCAGAACCCCATGGCTGTGCTCCTACTTACTCTTTCAGGGTGACAGGCTTGCCTTTCTCTGCTTCCCGCCTCAAGTTTCTCACCAACACATCTCCATACTGGGCAATGATGGGGAACATCTAAGCACAAAACAGATCACTACCTGTAGTTAAATGTGCAGACTCAAGTCCCAGAAGGACATGGCTTTCTCCAGCACAGAGCTGTAAGTGAGATTTTATAATGAATTTTGTGATGTCTTTTCTGTACATAAAGATAAAAGACCATTTTTAGGAAGCTTGAACTCAGTGGACTACCCCTTGGAAACGGACTGTGATCTTACTTTCTACCTGTCCCCAGATTCATTCTTTACATTTCTAATTAAAACTCATCTTGTTTTCATACCTCCTTGAGTTTTCCGCTGGTGAAGGTTGGAGACAGCAATGACCGTATTCTCTTCCATTCTTCATCCTCAGCTATAGAGATGGCACTTTTCATAAGTCCCACTGGACCTAAAGGCTAGAGTTCAAAGCGGAAACGTTTTGTCTCACATTACTTGTGGTGATCTTCATGGTTGCACAAAATATGTTGAAGAGGCATCACTTATTTAACAAATATTTATTGACTGTATATAATGTTATGGCAGGCCACATCCAAGATGCTCAATAGAGATCCTAGATATCTAGCCTCTTCTGAGTGTATGTGGGGCAGGGGTGGGAGTTGGGAGACCCAGCCATCTGGTGTGGTCTCCTGCCTCTCTATCTCAGTCTCCTTTTAAGTGCAAATGCTCCACGTGGTAGGGAACTGTTCTTCCAGTGGAATAGACAGGAACAAGACCTAGCCCTTCCTCTGAGTGTGCAGAGTAGAAAAGGATTGGTGACAGATGGGAAGACTGTATGTTGCCTCAAACCAGCTCTGTCTTTAATACACCTACAGATGGGTGACTTGAAAAAGTTATGCTATGATGTGGTGATTTTTTAGAAAAGTAGGTAATACTTAAGACTAGAAGCCTGTTTTGAAGGAATAATGCAATTCCATGAAAATTCTTTTCTCTTAATTTTTTATTCCATAAATAGAAGGAAAAAGAAAGGGATAATTCTTTTTCCCAACTTGGGGCTGGACTATCAAGCCAGCATGCTTGGAACTTTCTCTTATCTTCAACAACTATGTTTTGCTTTAAAATGTATACTTCCAGCTGTCATGATAAAATCTCAATAAACTAGGAAGAGAGAGACAGTTCCTTCACTTGATAAAGACAATCTATAAAAAAATCAGTTAAATCACATTTAATGATGAAGGACTGAATGGCTTTTCCAAGATCAAGAAGAATTCAAAAATGCCCACTCTCAACATTCTTACTGAAGAGCATACTGGATGTCTTAATACATTAGATGAGAAAAAGAAATAAAAGGCATACAGATTGGAAAGGAAATAATAGAATTGTCTCTATTTTCAGGTGACATAATTGTCAATGTATAAAATGTCAAGGAATATACAAAAAGACTTCTAGAATGAAGTTAAGTTCTGCAAGGCTATAGGATACAAACTCAGCACACAAAATTATTCAGATTTCTATGTAACAACAATCAATATCTGAAAATACAAGAAGAACAATATCATTTACAGTTACTCCAACAAAAATGAAATATTTCTGGTGTAAATCTAACAAAAGATGTACAGGATCTCCATGCTGAAAACTACAAAATGTTCAGGAAAGAAACAAAAGCTAAAGAAATGGAGAGGCGTACTATATTCATGGAATGAAAGACTGAACATCATAAAGATACAGATTATACCCAAGTTGTTCTATTGGTTTAATTCAAGCTTGTCCAACTTGTGACCTGCAGGCCTCATGCAGTCCAGGATGGCTTTGAATGTAGCCCAATACAAATTTGGAAACTTTCTTAAAACATTTTGAGTTTTTTTGCGATTTCTTTTGGTAATTTTGTAATTTGACTATGCGATTCTCAAGGGTGAACTTTGTAGACGACAATGGAATGGAAAGGTATAATCAGAGTATGTCACATCCACAAATAATGGGATAGTATCCATAATTTGCATTATAATTGCAAACAGTTCAGCTAGAAGAAATGAAAAACCTTTAAAATTAACTAACAAAATAAAGAGCGAGAGGACGCTATTGCAATGCTACGTGAAGTGAATTGTGACAAAGAATTCAAGTGTGTATTCTGGATAAGGCAGAGCGCTGCTGTACAGCAGACACTCTCACTATTTGTATGCATGTGTGGCTTCAGTTTTATGGTGGTGTGCGACTTCCAGTGTGTTATCTACCAATCATGGACAGTTGAATTGACACCATCAGATATTAGGTGTGTTTGTGGTGACTTGGCAAGTAAAACACAGCGATTATCAATAATATTTCAACCTACTTTTGTAAATGATAGATGTTTAATATTATTTAGAAGACATGTAAGTATTCTTATTTGATTATTAAACCTTGCTTTCTATTTTCGTATCTGTTAATTTTCATAATAAAAGTAAATATAGTTGCTTATCTATTATAATGCTTTTAACTCCAGAATGGCTTCCACAATGTCTTAAAAAGAAAACAGAACCCTAAGAAAGAAAAATTATGGATGAAGGAAGATTGTTCAATGAAAAGTGGACAAATGACTATTTTTCTTGTTGAGGCAAATAGCGAAGCACTCTGCTTAATTTCTGTGGAATTTGTGCGAGTTTTCAAAGACTACAGTTTGAAGAGGCATTATATGCAAAAACCTGCTGACAAATTTGGTGTGTATGTGTTGTAAGGACAAAATAGCAGAACTGAAAAAAAAAGTCTCTTTTCAACAAAAAAGATATTTAAAATAGTTACAACTCAAACAAACTCTATTGTAAGGTAAAAGCGAGTTATGTGTTAGCAAATTTAATAGCAAAAAAATCAAAACCATTTACTGATGGTGAGTTTATTAAGCAATGTATGGAAGATGTGGTAGATATTATTTGCCTTTAGAAACTGATATTTCTAAAATCAGTTTGTCTCACCAGACTATAGCCAGGAGAATTGAAGAAATTGGGAAATCTATTGAAAGATGTTTGGAGAGTAAAACTGCTAATTTAAAATTGTATGCTTTGGTGATGGATGAAGGCACTGACTGACGCTACAGATACGGCACAACTTGCTATTTCTATTGGAAGTATTGATGATGAATATAATGTCACTGAAGAAATGGAAATGTCACCGTGCCATTAAAAGACACAGCTAAATCAAGAGATTTATACAAAGCAATGAAAAATACGTTAAAGTGATTTTCTTTGTCCATTGTAAACATATCTGATACAGCTACAGATGGTGCCCTGGCGATGGTAGGTAAAAGAGAGGGGCTTGTACAATTAATAGAAGATGATGCAATTGCCGCACAAAACTCACGTTTGATCAAGTATTATTGCATAATACATCAAGAAAATCCATGTGCACAAGCTTTAAAAATGGATAACGTCATGCCAATTGTCATGAAGGCTGTAAATTTTACAAGGGCCCAGGGATTGAATCATCGCTAGTTCCAGGAATTCCTTAAAAGTATGGATGCTGACTCTAGCAACGTCATTCCCTTTTTAGAAGTAAGACAGTTAAGTCAAGGCGAAATGTAAAGATTTTATGCTTTGTGATGTGAAATCAAGCCGTTTATGGTATCAAACACAAAATTTGTGCCAGAACTTGCCAATGAAAACTGGCTTACAGACTTAGCATTTTTAGTGGATTTGACAGCCCATTTAAGTGAGTTAAACCTATGTCTTCAAGGTGAAAACCAACTTAATAATACAATGTTTCAAACCATAACAGCATTCCAAATGAAACTGAAATTATGGCAAGCTCGAATTAAGGCAAACAATTGAATGCATTTTGATGTGTTGGCTAAACATGGTCCTGTGAACAGCCAAAAATATGCAGCCTTGCTTTTCAATTTGATACAGGAATTTGAAAACAGGTATTTCAAGTTTTCTGAAAAAATAATCAGTATTTTGGTATATTTATGACTCCATTTTCAGTTGACATAAATATGTTACCTACCAATTTTCAAATGGAATGCTGAGAGCTGCAATCTGACTTTCAACTTAAAGAAAAATTTGATCATCCCTTTTTACTAGACTTTTGTGATACTATCTTCCCAGTGACAAATATCCCTCACTTCACAATTCATGTCATTGCTTTTTGGCAGCACTTACATTTGTGAGCTACTATTTTCAAGGATGAAGAACATGAAGAGTAAAACTAGAACCAAAATATCTGGTGAGCACCTTGAGAACTCACTGGGAATTGCAACTACTTCCATCAAGCCAGATACTGATGCATTAGTTTCTCAAAAACAATGTCAAGTACTCCACTGGTTTTATGTTGTCCTCTTTTCTTTTATAATTAAAAAATATCAAAAAAAGTAGTGAAGTTTTTTTTTAGTTAGATATGTAAATTTTCTGTATCAGTGATTGCAAACTTGGGACTGTTCAATGATTTTGAAAGACCCTCTGAATGGGGCAGTGAATAATTAGGATTATTATGTGAGGACATTTTTGCTTATCTGAGGTGGTAGATATAATGAAAACTATAAACGGACCTTTTGTGTGTGTGTGTGTGTGTGTTAGTGTATTTTATGTGTGGCCCAAGACAATTCTTCCACTGTGGCCCAGGGAAGCCAAAAGATTAAATACTTCTGCTTTCATTCAGTTCTTATCAAAATTATGGCTGGTTTGTTTGTAGACACATAAGCTTATTCTGAATTTTTATGGAAAGGCAAGGGATAAGAAAAGCTAAAACTATTTTGAAAATATAAATCAATGAAGTAGAAAGAATCGCTCTATATGATGTTAAGAGTTACTGTACAGCTACTAGAGTCACCACAGTGTGGTATTGGTGGAGGAGTAAACACAGTCATCAATGGGACAGAGTAAACAATAAGAAATAGATGCACAAAGTAAGCTCAGCTGATTTTTGACAATATGCCTACCTTTCCAAGATGGTGTTGGAACATTTGGACAGCCATAGTCCGCAAAAAATGAACCTTGATCTAAATCTGATAACTTATGCAAATATTAACACAAAATGGGTAATAGAGTTACATTTTGTAAAGTGTTAAACTATATAACTCTTAGAAAAAGCAATGTAGAAAGGAGGGCTAAGCAAAGGATTTTCAGACTTGACACCAAAATAACAATCCATAAAAGGAAATATTAATACATTGGCCTCCTCAAATAGAAAGTTTGCTCTGATACAGACCCTGTCAGAGAAAAAGACAAACCCCATGTTGTGACTGTAGGCTAGCAGGAGGGAGCCACATGGTGACGGAATAGGTCTGCATCTTGATGGTGCTGGTCGTTGCACAAATTTACGAATGTGAAAAATTTGCTTAGAACTACACACACACATAAACACACACAAACAAGGGCATGTAAAACTGGTGAAATCTGAATAAGCTCTGTAAACTATATCAAAGTCAATTTCCTGTACTATAGTATTAGGTTGGTGCAAAGGTTATTTCAGTTTGCCATTTTAACTTTTGCGCCAACCTAATATGAATATACTATATTTATAGTTAACGCAGGATTGCAAGATGTTACCATTGTAGGGGACAGGATGAAGAGTACATGGAACCTTCCTGTCCATTTTTTATGTAACTCTTTGTGAATATATAAGTTTTTTCAAAATAAAAATTTAATCAATGGATCAATCATTATTTAAGTTTCAAAAAATGGATGCTTACCCTTCGATTTGTGAAGACAGAATAACATTCTTTCACTAGCACTGTTTTGATCATCTCGGGATCTGTGATGGTCAGCACAGGGAGTTGACCATCTTGCGTTCTGTGTGGGGACAACAGAGCTGATTAAACTTCACTAGCCTGATTCTGCAGCTGGAGCCACACCCAGGAAGCCAGACTTTGATCCTGATCATGTAACCCATGCCCCTAGTTGTACAACACACAGCAACCTTAGGTTCTAGTTCATTAGGGTGTGACACGCAGCAAGAGTCTGACACAGGAACCACCCAAGTTTTCATACGATGAAGGGTAATGTGGCCCAAACAGGGAAGAGACATTGCAAGACCAAAGGGCTCTTTAAAGACATCATGGTTAGAAATGACAGTACAGCATTTGTTAAGCTGGATGGTGCATACATGGGTGTTTCCTATGCCACTCTCCATAATGTTTTATATGTTTAAAATACTTCATTATCAATAACATTAGGTCAGTGAAAAATTGAAGGCAGGTAAATCATTAGATGCTCAAAAGAGTAAATGTTGCAAGGGGCAGTTGGTGTGGGGACCACGGACATCCAGAGCTGTGTGTTCTTTCTGCTCAGTCGTGTTGCCTGTATGGGCTGTGCCACCTCCACAGCACCCTGCAGCCAGCGCTGCAGTTTCTGAGGACTTGATGAGAGAACATGAAGAAGTACAAAGAGGCAAAGCCTTCTCTCGCTTGCTTCTAGTGAACGAACACACCACTGCACCTCTTCCACTGCTCTCACCAAAACTCTAGCCCTGACGACAGGGAACAGCTGCTGCAGTTGGCTGAGGTCACCTTATAAAATCACAGCCCATCAGCCCACCAGGGAACACAATGGTTTAAGAATATTCAGCATTTCTTCTTCAAAGTAAGCAAAATGGTATGAACCAATAAATACTTGTATATCCTTCTATTAAAAAGTCTTGGCTTAAATTTAAACAACAAAGCAGAACAAAAAGTTCCATACTTGCAGAGAAAGTTTTAAAAAGGGGAGCATAAATGGTTTCCAAATCTGTTTCTCTACTATTTCTCAACCCTTCTTTCAAAAGCATGTTAGATTCAAAGTCTAAATGAAAGAGTTTTGGCTTTTAAATGAAAGTGAATCGATATGGGAAGGAGATGATGCCATGCATTTATGAGCACATATTAGAAGGGTCAGAGACAACACATGTGATAAAAGGGCACCTAAGGAAGAAAAAAAGAAGAGGGGGATAGGCAGACACTGGACAGAAGGCGATGCTGGGAGTCCCTGGGCCCCCAAAGCCTGGAGAAAAGTGGTTACAACAATGCTCCCAGCCTAGTTCAGATTGAAGACCTCGACACCTGGTGACACATGGGATCCTTGGTAGGACAAGCCTCGAAAATTTTTACAATAGCGAGTGTGAACATTATCAGAACCAAAGTGATGTCACTAATTGTTTTTTTAACCCTGACAAATAAATCCCAAGAAGTCTATGAAGAGAGGATTCTCATGCTGTGTTCCTGGAAACAAACTATTACAAAAGTCTCAACAAAAACCACAACTTTGCACAAAGTCCATTTCAACTTTACACAAAAGTATTTCTGCAAGGACACCTGCCCAGCAACTGCCTGTCCAACCTTGGTGTGGCGTCATCCTTGTTATTAATCTTTGTAGCTAACAATAATTACCTCAAAACAGTTATGAGATTCTCCTCACATTTTCCTTGGAGCATCTTTGTCTTGTTTACCTCCCTGAATTTGCACATCATTTATAATGGCAAGCAGATTCCCACTGCAATATTCTACTCCCAAATAATTACCCTCTTCTTTCAGAGAACCTCTCTCTTATTTGGGTTGGCAAGAGCTTCATCCCATGAAGCCCTGGGCAGAGACTATCCTCTTTGCAGTGGGTAACCTCATCACGGCAGCAGTTCTACCCAATGGAGGTTTCCAGAGTACTCACCTCCACATTTTCCCATACTTTTTATAACATTCTGTGTCAAATTTCCAGAGACCCTGGGAGAAGAAACAAAATACAATTTGATTATTATTTTAAATAGAATGAACCCTACCTCTAACTGGGGCTGAAAACAGTTGCATCCAGTGAAATCAGGCCTCAGGCCTGCTATCTTTCACTGGCAGTTGGAGGAAGCTTATTCAGAGATGTCTTAAGGGAAAGGCAAGAAAACAGAGGATATATTTGAAGTGGGGAATTTAAAGTCACTCTTGAATTTTCTCCAAGTACTGAAGGACTCACCCTTATCTATGACTAGTAATTCCTTGTCTTTCTGATGTATTTTTGCTTTTTCTTTTATTCTCTCGAAAGTCTCCTAACTCCCTGAATGATCACCTGCAAGGGCAGGGGTGAAACTGAGGCTGAAGAAAAGTGAGTGTCTGCAGGGAATGCATAATTTTTTTATCTCCTCCATCAGTATCCTTTTCATTTATCTCATGTGCTCTCTCCAGAATTCTAGCAGACTTAGAAAGTTAAAGAAACCAGGGGCCTCTTTTAGTCTTGCAGATTTAGATAAGTCTAAGGCATGTTGTTGAGTGAGAAAATGAGTGAGTGAGTGAGTGAATGAGAAAGTAGACTTCCTTTCCGGTTTTCTAGCTTAACACAGAAAAGATGGAGAAGTGCCACCTCTGCAGATCACACCCAATTACAATGCGTGCTTTGAGCTTTCACTTCTGAAACGTAAAAACAAACCTTCCTGTTGCTAAGATTCAGCTATGATGTTTTAACTGTGCAAAAGAAGGTCCCAGAAATGTCTATCTACTATAAGAGTTGATCTGGGAAAGATGAAGAAGAAATTACTGCTTTTATTGAGAGTAAAATGGTATAGAATTCTCAGACAGTAATCAGACAACAGAGGCCTCAGTTGTGAGTGTTAGAATCTGAGAAACAAGCTTCAGGTATACAGGATAGGAAATCTGGGCTGGAGAGCAGCTTGCTGGTGCTGGCCTTCTGGGCATGAGCTCGTGACTTTCCCTCCAGGGGCCAGACGTTGGGCAAAGCATCAGACCAGGGTAGCTACAAAGGCTCGGCCACAGTTTACAGTCCATGTGGCATGTATGACATTCTGTTCAGTAAAATTAAATACTTAATAATTTTGTCAGCTATTTCCTTTCTAATGATTTTGCATAAGTGTTCGCACCTTTGTGTAAAAAACAAACAAACAACAACAAAAAACACCAAATTCATTTTCTACTTAAATATCTGAGGTTGATGGACAACCACCATCTCATCTCAGTTACATCCACTCCCTGCTCAGACTCACCCATAGGGTGCAGCCTTTGAAGGAAAAGAAGCAAAGCAGAACCCTCTTGTTCTTTCTCTCAAATCTGCAAAAGATGTTATAACAGCTGGGATAGAGCCATGGAAATATGCTCAGAGAGTTTAACAGTTCTTGAGAGAATTCAAATAGGTGCAAATTACCTGATGGGGAGAATATTTAGGTTGCCTAATAAACTAAAGTTTCAAAGTTGTTCAGGAGGAAGGGGAAAAAAAGACTGCTCATGAGCTCTTGCTACAAAGAGCCAAGTTTGAATCTGGTACACACAGCTAATGAGCCACTACCAGGGCCCCCCTTCCTGCTTTTCTCTTAATGCTAACTAAGTATGACTATACCTTCCTGGGAACCTGCAAGGAGCAAAAAGAAAATTCTCTTTATGGTGCCACAAAGTCTGCACATCAAGTCCTGAACATCAAGTGCTGAACTCCCTGACATCTGGGCTATTCAACTGAGGCAAACCTGAAGCTCCTGAGAGTTAGCAAGAAAGCCCTGGGGTAAACCTGGCTGTGAGCCTACACATCTTTTCTTTTCTTTTCTTTTTTCTTTTCTTTTCTTTTCTTTCCTTTTTTCCTTCCCTCCCTCCCTCCCTCCCTCCCTTCTTCCCCCCCTCCCTCCCTCCCTCCCTCCCTCCCTGCTTCCTTCCTTCCCTCCTTCCTTCCTTTGTCTTGCTCTGTTGACCAAGCTGGAGTGCAGTGGTGCAATCACAACTCAATACAGCCTTGACTTCCTGGGTTCATGCAATCCTCCCACCTCAGCATTCAGAGCAGCTGGGACTACAGGCATGGGCTACCATATCATGCACCAGTAATTTTTTCTTTCTAGAGACGGAGGTCTCACTGTGTTGCCCAGGCTGGTCTCAAACTCCTGGGCTCAAGCAAGTTGCCAGCCTTGGACTCACAAAGGCTGAGATTACAGGCATGATCCACTGCACCCAGTCCCACCATTTCTGAAAATGTGAAACTTCAGAACTCCCTCCCAAGGAGGAGCATTTTTACTGATGGAACTAAGCTGATGTTTGCAACCATGAGAAGCAAAAGAGGAAGTTCAAACAACTCACCTGACGATAGGACAAAATATTTCCCAAAAAAGGCAGAGGTGTGGGCCCTGGAATTCCTTGTCTCTTAAAAAGTCCATATGAACGGGTCCCGTATCTATGAAGTGAAACAGACATCAGGTCACAAGGTTTGCGACTTTATAGATCGGAGGGCTGCTGAGTTACCGACTCAGGAGCTGGAATGGTTACGAGAGGGAGGTAATATGTACACGATAAATAATAACAGCAACTCCAATGGCAGTAATTGGATTCACTCATCAGGTCCTTTCCTGACTCTACTCTGAGACCCCTAAAAGTCCCATAGCTGAAAGCAGCTGAAGTCTTCATAGTCCCAGTCCTGGAGTGAATACTTGAGAAATGTTCTCAAATGCTCCTGAGAGATTCAGGCAGGAATTCTTCCAGGACACTTCATTCCCTTATATCTATTTAGTAAGTGGACTCTTCCCTGATTTGGGGATTCTCATCCTAGGTAGAAAGGGTGAGACTTTTTTTGTCTTCTGCATTGATGATGAGATTTTGCATCGCTGTATCCACTCAATCACAGAAGGTCACCGAGAGCCTATGCTGACACTGCCCTTACAATTTGCTCAGAAACTTTTATGCTTTTTCTTCCCTCTCATCTCTGACCCTGTTTTAGGATCTAGCCCTTAAACCTTCATTCACAGAGAGGCCTTGGAGGAGTCATGGAGTCCTTATTTCTACAGATTGACAACTGTGTTCATGGCATCTATTGGCCTTATAGAAATGTGGGCAGCTTTCAGCTACACCTCAGTCTCTGATTTGAGCTATTGAGGAGGATGGTTGATCCATATGTCCTTGAACGATGGTGTGCAGAAGAACCAGCAACTAATACTTCTCAGGTAATACTCGCGTGAGAAGCACTGTGCCAGGCACACTCATCTTTTTCAAGGTAGTCAATCGAAAGCAGTCAGTTCACTACCTCTGTACATGAAGTATCTCTGAGGAAAAACTCATTAAGCCTGGTGTTCACTATGGCAGGCCTGCCTGCAACTCATCTTTCGTGAGTCATGCAAACTCCTCCAACTGATGGTTCTGAATCCTTTCTGGTCTTCCCCCTCTAGTGTGACTGAGGGATGGAAAACTGGAGGAAGAAGAGAGGCTGAAGGAAGAGGTTGCCAGACACTGATTCAGCTGTGAAGCTGTTAGCCTCACAAGGTTGACTCCAGAGAGGCAAACTACACAAATGTAGTTGAAAAAGATGCCGTGCATAAAAGAATCCACATGCCTCATATGTACCTTCAGCTAAAAGACAGGGAGGGACCTTCCAAAGTCCAGGTACTTTCCTGTTGATAGCAAAAGATGCAGTATGGCATGTAAGAGAAGTAATGATAAAACATCCCAGAGAGTTGTATTAAGACCTTGCTTACTCCTCTTTAGAGGTTAGCCTTCAAGGCAGTATAGGTGCCAAACATTTTGTAACCATCCAGTGACTTATAAAATGTGATAAAAGAAAACTAAGAAATTTCATGAAGGGCAGGGTTTGGAGGACTCAGCAGAGGCGGCATGGGCAGGCCCAGTCATACATTTGGTTCCCTGCCCTAGAACAGTTAGTGGAAGTGCTTGCACCACCTGCCAAAACCAGGATGGCCTTGGGTATTCCCACTTCAGTTCCCTCCTTTGTTGTCACAGCCATGTCAAATCAATGACACTAATCTCTGCTCCTGAACCTTAAACATGTTACCTGACCTCTCAGGTGAGGACAAGCTATTGAGTTAATGTGTCAGCAGCACTGGCGCCCAAGGAAAGATCTTGGTGAGTATATAGACTTACATGATACCATGTCAAGGCAGACGCTGGGCTGGGCGAACTCTTGTTTCTTTTCAGCTCCCCTCTGTTTGGTAGAGTAATGCTGCTTTTGGTTCCAATGAAGAGGCTAACAGAAAAGCCAGTCATCTAGTGCATGTAATTGTGTTGGCCTAAGGAGGGCATGGTCTACACTGCAGTATCTGACTCCTGGGCTGCACCAGCATCGTCTAAGGCTAAGGTATTGTCTGCCCGGCTGCCCAAATCTGTAGTGACAGCCCCACAACATGGCAGACCACACACAGAGTGACACAGATGGTGCCCCTGTGTCCAGGCTTGAAGCAGATGAGATGCCAACCGGTTTGCCCTTTGAGTGACGTCCACTGTGGGGCCAGGACCCATGACTACCTCTTTGCAGTTCTACCCTGAGAGCTGAGGAATATTTTCACTTCATACTGATCCTACCTGGATGCCTTTGCTATCGTCACTGGCTCACAGTCTTGCTTACTCCCCTGCCCTGAGAGTTTAAGCTAATCTGCTAGGCAGGTATTTTCGAATAGGAGGTATTAAAATAAATGGCCGGGCAGGTATATTTAAAAAGACATCTGTGCAGTCTTGTCTTAGAGGTATACATTCGAGCATTAGACTAATATTTCTGACATTTAGGAAAGGTGACATTATTTTACACACATTTATTGTCACAAAATACTGAACTAACAGCCCTCTTTTTATCATCCAGAAGGAACATGCTGGAAATAGTCTATCTCCAAAAAATTCTGGTTTAAATAGGAGTGAATTTGAATCATATCAATTCATTTAAAAATGTTAGACAATGGAAACCATGTTCCCACAACTCACTGAATTCCTAAGCTTTCTGTGAAAGAATTAAAATGAGGTTTATATTT